CTGTCCTCACCTTCTTTGTGTGGTCATTTTATGACTAGGACAGGTTGATGTTAAGATAGTGGAGTTCGGTTGAATTTACTTTTCTTTTCCGGTAAAACGTTTCTGAGTGATTTCTAAAAAGTTCTTTCTAACTCTGAAGTCACACTCTCCCGTGTCACCTTTTCATTTGTAGGGTTTTTCACTTTTGAATCTTGAATCGTCCCGGAACTGGACAGGATGGTGGTGGTAGTGCTTCCTGCCTCCTCCTGCTCGGAGCAACTCTGTGTCTGAGTGGTTCTGCAGTCCTCCCGCGTCTGCATGGCCACGTTGTTTCTCAGCTCGGTGTTTGTCCCCTCGGTTTGTCTGTCTGTCCTCGTTAGCAGCATCTTACTCTTCAGTGACAGCATCGGACTCTCTCGGACATCTGCCAGGACTGGTGGCCCATTTGTTCTTCTTGACAGTCAGCTCTGCTGCTCTTGACATTTTGGAATTGTATGGAATCTGTAGATTGATCTATGGAAAATTGACCCCCATCATGTGTCTATTTACTGGCGAAGATTGAAAATACCATGGTCTTTTCAGTCCCTCATCTGCGTGCAGAAGCTGGACAGTGAATCAGGAGGGATTGCAGAGCTGGTGCCGTTGAACGTGGTGTTGGTGAGGGCTGTCGCATGTACTGTGGGCAGCCGGAAGAATGAGCACACCTGCTTTGGAGGAAGTGCAGTCCGAACGCCCCTTGGAATGAAGACGGGGAGACCTTACCTCTCATACTTTGGACCTGTTGTCAGGAGGGACTGGTCCCTGGAGAAGGACACAGTACTGGGTAAAGCAGGGGCCAGTGAGGAAGGCCCTCAGTGGGGTGACTGTCCCAGTGGCTGCAGTGCTGGGCTCAGACACGGCGACTGAGGTGGTGCACGGCTGGGCTGCTGGTTCTGCACATGGGGCTGCTGGGAATCCGAGTCCACTTGATGACACCGAACGACGGGACCGCCGCCTGCCCAGTGTGGCGTACACATCGCTGTGTTCCTTAGATTCTTCAGTGTCTTTCTGTCAGGTTTCAGGAGTCTTTCCTTGTGGGTCTTGCATTGTCTGTTTTTCACTGTTTGTTGTAAACAGGGCTGTAAAAGTTCCTTTTCTGATTCCCTGTTCATGGTGTGGTGAATTGCAGTTGGATATTGGATATTGATGTTACGTCTAGCAAGCTTGGCGTGAGCTTGTGTGTAAACTTTCTGGATGTCGTAAGGACGCTGTGGTGTGCAGTTTATACTGTTTGGCTTCTGTTGCCTCTTCCGGCTTCCCCGCCCCTCCCTGGTCACTGGGCCTGCTGGAGTTTCCAGCAGAGCAGGCAGCCTCGCGGAGGGTGGCGGCACTAAATCGTTCCTGGTTTTACAGGAGTGCCTTCAGTGCACCATCGTCGAGGACCAATTCCATCAGAGTTCTACACACCTTATTAGCAGGTCCCACCCAGTAACCCGGTGGGAATTATGAAGTCATTCACTGCACCACAGGCCACCCCTGGCTTTTCTAGCCATTGCCCCCTTTATACTTCAAAAATTAACATTCCCTTCACAATCAGTTTAAGAATAAGCACACCCATGAAAATGTGTAAGCCAGCCACTGCATGTCTTTATCTCCCCTCGTTTTAAATAGCCGATTTCCAATTTGCCCGTCCCTGTCAAACTAGCACTGAGGAGACAAGCCTGTTTCTTTCTCTCAAGAATCTTCGGTTCCAGTTAGAGCATTGAGCATCTGCATCCACAAATAAGCAAAGGCCAGTCCAGAGCACGCCATCAGATTGCAGTAACAACACCAGCTCAGTGTCAAACATGCTGCTCTTCGTTTGGTCAGGTTCCGGTCAGCTCAGCCCTGCCCATCCCAGCGAGGTCCCGGGTAGCAGCTGCAGGCTTGGGCGTCACACTCCTCCCGTCACTTCAGACCAGCCAGCACCTCTCTCATCCGGTTCCTCAGGTGCTAGTTCCAGTGCCCGCAGGCTCAGGAGTCCACACGACTCCTTGCACTTCAGACCGGCCAACTCTTCCTCTCATCCCCAGCCTCCGCGGCCTAGGTCAGAGGCCACCAAACTCAGCCCGTTTCTTCAGTGCTGCCCTTCGCCCCCTTCCACGCATCAGGTGGGCCCGGGTGGTCACCAGTGAGCAGCAGACAAGCCTCCTACTCACAGGCTCCCTTTAACTTCCAGTCCCAGAAGGGGTTTTTCTCCTGGCCATGACTTTCCTGCCGCCGTGCAACCAAAGACAAACTGCTTGCTTGAAATTCAAAAAGTCGGTCTTTTTTTCCTCTCTGCAGATCCTGTCTTCTCAGCAGTCCTGGGCGGGGCTCGGGTGTTCTCTCTAAGCCCCTGTACTGACCAGTCCCAGCATCAGATTTCTGCACACCTTGTCTGCATGCCCCCCCGCCCCAGTAATCCGGTGGGAGCTGCAAAGACTAGGCTAGGAAAGAAAGCCATGCCAAGTCACTCACCACACCACAGCTGCTTTTCTGCAGGGAATGGCTGCCTGTCCCTCTGTCAGGATGGTGTCCACTCTAGCCACTGATTTTGTCAGCTGCAGCTGTGGCCTTGCCTGTCCCTCTGAACTGAACCCCGCGGTTCGCTGGCTCCCCTGGCCGCCCTCCTGGGTCTTGCTTGGCCCTGCTGCTTCTGCTGGGCCCACAGCTCCTCCTGCTGCTGGGACGGGGGTCTCACTTCCATGGCTGCGTCCTTCTCCTGTCAGCTCCCAGCCCCTCAAGTTCCCCTCTGTCCTTCTCACTGCCTTTGCTTACGCTGTGCTGCTCCCCACTCCCCCTCACCCCTTCCTACGGCTGAACCCTACCCCTTCCTGGTGCCATTTCCCTTCTTGGACCACCTGACTCAGGTGGGCTCAGGAGGCTTTCCCAGGCTACATGGCTGTCAGTGGCACTGGCCATGGCTGTGTTGTCCATGGGGCCCCAGCTGGTGGCTGTGTCCCTCTCTGGGGGTGCTCAGGAGTGAGTGCAGCTGCCCAGCAGGAACAGCTGGGTGCAGGCTGCTGTGTCCCCTGGGCTGCCGGCCCTCAGACCGGAGTTCTGGGG